TTTACCATTAAATTATATTATTGATAGTGATTAATTATTTTATTTTTTATAAGACTCAATAATTAATTACCTTATTATATTGCTAACAATATATAACAAAATTCTCGGTCACATTTATAACTTGAAACGGCCACCAAACATCCAAAAAAAAAAAAACCTGAACCGCCAAAATGATGACGATGTTTATATTAAAATTGAGAAATCTTTGGAAAATAAAAGAAGAGAAATATGTTTTAAATATGATATATATTATTTTATTTATTGGTAATTAATTTTATATTATACCTTCTTATTGTAATTAGATCCATACATTTTCTGACATGATATTAAAGTGAGTGGGTCGATCAGGGCTCAATCTAACTTTTCAAGGCCCTCTCTTCTTCTTTTTATTCGCGTTTAGGTCCCGTCTTTCCTATATGGGGGTGTGTTAAGCTCTACTTTAGCAAGAGTTGTGCGTCCTTTGCTGGTATAGTAGTTAAAATTTGATGGATAGTGAGTAATAAATAATTAATAATATATAGTAATACTGGGTGATGGGTGTTCGGTTAATAAATAATGAATGATAAATGATAAAAAGTATAGAGTAGATAGTAAATTGTAAATTGAATTAATATAATTGTTATATTATATAATAGTTAATAGTTATTATTATTTTTTTTTTAAAGTAAGAATTACATTTATAGTATTAGTATCTGTACTAAAGAGATGAGAAAATATCGAGCCTAAGACTCAACCTGAAGATCACCATGGGTGCCCTCACTTACTTATCAATAAAAAGCATGGTTACGACGAGTACATGGGTTAAAGGTTAGTTATTATTTAATATTAAATGATTAATAAAGATATGTTTAAAAATAATTTAGTGTATTTTTATATTTTTATTATTAAAATTGGGAATTTTATAAAAATAATAATAAGAAAATAAACAAAAAAATAAATTATAATAGTGTGATTACACATTAATTTTTATTTTTAACAAGAAGAATTATATTATTTTTAATAAAATACCAAAAAAAATATTTTTTTCATCTAATTAGCAAATTTTATTTATTAAATTAATATAATCACTTAATATTATTAAAGATAAAAAAATAAAATTAAAACTAATTAGATAAGTATTAATTAAAAACTTTAGCTAAAAATTAAAAAATTAAAAAGGTTAAATTTGTCAATAAAATTAAAAAATTTTAATTTACTAGTAGTTTGAACTTTAACTATTATCTATTAGTATCAAATTATGAAATAAAAAATTAATTTTATCAAATATCTAACTTATAACGATTTTAAAATAAATAAATTTACTAAACATCTATTCTTAATAATTTGAATAAAATTACTAACTAGTACCCCTAAATTGTTATACCAAACAGGTCATAAGGCTCTTTGGAAATCTTACATTAAACAATAAGAAAAGAAATATATATTTAGCTTAAAAATAAAAAAAAAAAATTACGCTACTTATTATCAATTAATTTAGGAAAAATTTGAAGGGAACCTGCATATGTGGGAGCTCAAGTCCACAATCTTAAGGTTACTTTGGATCCTTAATAAGTTGATCTAAGACTTGCTAACATCTGTTGTAAAAGTTACACAGTGCAATTCGTTGTGCACAAATTATATTTTATTTTACTATCAATGAAAGTAACAATCCTTTAATATTAAAATGTAATTCCTTCACAAATGACTAAAGCTAATGCAATCTATGCATATTGGATTGCGCTA